GTGACATACATCTGTCAGCTGGTAACCTATTGCAGAGCCTCACAGTTCAATAGGAGAAAAAAAACCACTTCTGAAGAGATGCACTGATGATGAAACTACACAAACCAAGATGATTTAACATCTCCCTTGCCAAAAGGCAGAGAGGTCCCTCTTGAATATTTACCTGGAGCCACCTTTGCTACTGGTCAGACACAACACAAACTCATTCTTCTTACTAACCCCAGGGAAGAGGAAAAGACATTTCTGCAATTGAATGTGTATGAAAGATTTCACTGAGCACCAGAAACAGTGCAAGAAAAGGGAAAAGGTGCTGTGCCCAAGACTGGGTGCAGGGAGCTCTTGCAGAAGCTCAGTCGCTCACAGAATTGCCCCTGGTAAGGAGCTGGTACAAGGGGTGGGTGGGTGACGTGTTTGTGATTTCTAGAGACAAGTCCAGGAGAGAGGTCTTTTGCTAGGCAGAGATATTTGCATTTCAAGGAAATGAAACAGTGCCTGTTAACTAGGAATGGCCAGAGTGTCGTGGGCATTAATCCAAAGCAAACTGGTTTCAGGGAGATTTAGGTTATTGAGACTCCCTGGAAGAAGAGGCCAGTGGATAGAATATAGTAGAGAAACCTCATCATGAGGACAAATTGAACAGATACTACCCATGACATTAATGTTCACAGCCAAGTGGAATCCCTGGTAGGAGGAGGGCTGCAAAATCAATTGCCATTCCAGCTGGATAAAAATAGAGACCTTTCTAATTTAGCAAAGGTAATTTCAAGAAATGGGAGAAGACTGCTCCCACCACACACCCTCCTCCCTCCTCAGTACTTCTTGCATTTGCTTGGTGGTGATTTTGGCACTTTTGGACTCCACAAGCCATTCAACTTGCTAACCTAGCAAAAGATTCACTGGTCTCAGACCAAAAATATAGGCTGCTGAGAATACAGGCTGAATGACTTCCCCAGGAGTCCAACACACCCAAGCCAATGGAAGGGAGAAGATGTAGAAGCAGGAGGGAGCCTGTCTGCTTTACATGCAGCATTGTGAATCTGTTCAACTTCCCCAGTAGCCATAGTAAGGCTTTATAATCATTGTCTGCCAGTCAAACTGCTGGTGAAAGGGACTTCTCTCCCCAGCCCGCTTGCTCAGCCAAGATTTACAGCTGCTTGTCCTTATTGTGTGTACTTGCATTGCCTTAACCTGACAGAAGTTCAGGTTGACTTCGAAGTAGTGAATTAACTAGATGTTCCTCTCCAGACAATGGGATGGGTTTACAAACATGTGGTAAGGGACCAAACGCACCTACCAGCGTAAGACCCGCCCTGAAACTTGTGCAAAGCTGAAATACGGGGAAAGAGAGATGTGTTTCAGAGAGCACTGCTGGGCAAGAAAGCTCACTGCTGTGTAGCAGGATACTGGCCCACACACCTGAGCTCCGGGGGACTTCAGAGTGTTTGTAATACCTCTCTCTGCAGCACAGTAGGTGATAGTGGTCCAAATCACAACACTCTCAGTCTCACAGCAAATCCCCTCTCCCTTACAGGCATTTGCACAGAGGCTCTGCAGCTGAGCTTACATGGCATAGTTAAAGATCTAAGCGATGCAAAAAATGCAGAGTAAATCACAAAGTCATGAATTTAAGGCCTCATCTGTTCCCTTCAGAATATAAAGCTCTCCTATTATTTATTTTAGTTATTCCACAGTTCCCTGTAGCTGCTGCGAGAATACAACATAAGATTGGCAAGGACTGTAAACATGCTCAAGTGACTTGCAGCTGAGGTGTCGAAAAACACACGTACCATATTGTCATTCAGCTTTGTGTGCTTGACTGGTAGAATGTCTGTGTTTAGATAGCACAGGCCTGTGAGAGACTCAGAGACACCTTATCGAACATGCTTGAGATTCCTGCCCTGCTGTGGGAAAGATCAAAGCACAGTGGAAAACTGTCTGTGAAAATCCCTGGTATATAAATATAAATAAATAAATAAATAAATAAATAAATAAATATATAGGCAAAAGCAGCAGGTTCAAGATCTTTTCTTTCTTCTTATCTTCACAGCTAGCAAGGACCAAGCTCTGTGGTGCTGGCATCCCTGCTTGGGTGCTTCAGCCTGGGTGGTGCTGTGGAGATCCCCCAAGTCGTGAGGTAACGAGAATGAATTTACACTTTGCATTTCATCTGTAGTTTTTGTGGTTGCTCCCGTGTCCAGACTGTGTCAGCTCATGCAGCTGCAATGCCAAGAAATTAAGTCTTCAATGGGGACATCTCACAAGTGACTCCACAGCTTTTAGGGGAAGCCAACCGACAGATACAGTAAGGAAAAGATTTTTAAATGGGTAAAAATTTGGATTTTTAAATGGGTAAAAACTAAACAGGTCAATAGCTTATTGCTTTTCATGTTTTAGTTCTTCCCAGCAGGTTCATATTCCCAGGGAGGTGGGAGGGGGAGATAACTAGTATTTTTGGCTCAGGTGAATCAGCCCCAGCTAAAAAGAACCAACCCCAGAGACAGCTCTTTGTACATCCTCCACAAGACTCACTGCAACACCATCTCCCACAGCCTGAGCCAAGCCAGGCAACCACATACTGCACAGCACAGCCTCTCTCATGTGGCTGATCACACAGAGGACATTTTCATTAAACTAAGAGTTTTTAAGAGCATGGACTCTCCATTAGAGCAATAGATTTACTCTGCAGACAAGGCCTTACCACTAGCACAGTGTTCCTCAGGTGAGAATGGCCTAAGGGGAGCAGCTGGCTGGGGATGTACCAGTTAACACAGGAGAAACTGGGACACATTCAGCCAGTCACACCCTTGTCAAAGCACTTTCTACATCAAAGGCTCAGATTTGCCTCCTCCTGTTTCAGACAGGGCAATTCCAGCCACTTATCCCCCCAGTCCAGCTTCACACACTGTAATGCAGGGTGGCTTTTACCCATCATAGAAATGAGCCTGTTCAGGCAGATTTACAGATGTGACAGCGCATGTGTGGAAGGAAAGGCTGTTTTCTTACCTGCTCATTTTCAGTAAATAAAATCCTCTTGTCAGGGCTTAGTGCAATAAGGCCACACTATTTCAGTAGGTCACTTGTATGTTTTATATGGATTTCTTCTATTAAAATTGCAAAAGTGTCTGAGACTGCACAAAATTAATCTTAACCCACCATTCTTTGGAAAAGGACTTATGTAAGGAACATCAAAAACTAGAGACAGAAAAAACACCATTGGGCAATTATACTCTTTGCAGGAAAAAATTCATGCATGTCAGATCTCAGCTGTTTTGCTCTGGTAACTTGCACCACCACAAGTCACTGTGACAGTGTTTTTGTCTCTCAGTTTATGACACTAAACACTAAGTGCAAGAAACGAACCTTATGTTTTATATACACTCTGCTTGTTCAGTGGAGAGCCATCTCCCCCTATACCAAAGTGACAGTTTTCTTGAGACAAAGTTGGTTTCGCGTGGACAGGTCTCTACATAGGTACCATTTTTCCCCAGCTTTTCTTGCAGCTTTAGCTGTAAAGTTTGCACACTAAGTACAAATAGTCATGTCTTTTAAATAAATCTAAAGAAAAGAGTGAAGCTCCGTAGGGGACTGCCTACTCGAGAGCATATTCTTATTTTGGAAGAACAATGACATTTAAAACCAAATAGTGGATTTTTTTTTTCATTAAACAGTTACTGAACAAAAAGAAGGGACCGAGTAGTTTATTTGGCATTGTTGCAGACCACAGTTTAATTGGATGAATTTGGATTATGTTGACCAATGTGTAGTCTTCAACGCTGTTTTATATCACAATCATTATCGGCCATGCACATTCAACAATAGCATCAGCTTAATCATCGTCTTTAAGCTTCTTTATCTTATACTTATGACGCTCGATTTCTTTCTGCAGACGCTCGATCTCTTTCTTGTGGTGATCAATCTCTTCCTCATGGTGTTTCCGTAAGGCAGAGAGCTGCTCCCTCTCCTTCTCCCTGCAAGGAAGGACGGCACAAGCTGCAGCGGCCGCAGCGTGTGTCCGTTCCGCGGG